GCATTTGTCCCCCTTCTTAAAGGAATAGGTTAACTAGGGCGTTGTAGGATTCACACTTTAATTGGCTCTGCGGGGAAGGAACCCAGTGGTGGTGTAGGATCGAGCACCCAGCCAGGTTTTCTTCTCTCAGACCTGTATCTCTGTATTCTTGATGAGGGATGATTTTGTGTTAAAGGGATTTTGAATTACGAAAGCATTTTACTTTAGCCATCATTCATCTAAGGTCTTTCCTTTAAGCTATAAGGTGTATATTTGTAAGGAATTTAATCCAAGTCTGTTTCACTGCTTTTCTCCAACCCTGACCAATCCCCTAAAGCTTTCCTGACACAGGACAAGATCTTGGAAGGTCTCTGCTCATGCTTTACATAGTCCCTGAGCTGCGTGTTTGCTCTTCTTGTCACATGCCCCTTAGTTCCTCTTGTATTTTGAATATCTTTGTTGAAATATATTGAACGGATATTACAAAATGAAGAAGTAACCGGAAGGAAGCCCCATGTGGTTTCATCCCCAAAATGTCTTTGCGCACTAGTATTCCCACCCCCTCCCCAAAACTAGTGTCATAGTGATAACAGTGCAACTGATTGAGCCACATTGAGCCCTTGTGGGTTCTGTTCTTATTGAAATGTCTATTTAACTCTTGGCCCCATTTCTTTGAGACCCTGTTGGGGCAGCCTGGGCCGTGTGTGTATGACTGCCCCAGTATGGCTGTGAACCGTGCCTTTATGATGGAGTTTTAAAAAAAGCTGCCTCTTCTCAGGGAGCTTGGCTGTTATGCACAGGAATCTCTGCAGTAGTATTATTGGCACCGCTAGCCTTTTCTTCACTTGTTTTCAAAGTAAAATAAAATTCACAAAGGTACAGAGAGTAATAGAATAAACACTATATTTCCACCACCCCCATTTAACATTTCATCATTTCAAATAGAGCTATGGTTTGTCTCCTGTGCCCCAAAGGCTCTTTCCTCACAGATCGCAGACTCAGTTTGGGCCTCTCCACGGATGCCTTTGGAGTTCCGCTAGCATTCAGGTATTTCCACCACCCCCATTTAACATTTCAAATAGAGCTGTGGTTTGTCTCCTGTGCCCCAAAGGCTCTTTCCTCACAGATCGCAGACTCAGTTTGGGCCTCTCCACGGATGCCTTTGGAGTTCCGCTAGCATTCAGGGCTTCTATGGCATCGCTCACAGAACACTGGAACCACCTATCACAGCTCTATTTTCCCAGCACACCTGAAGTTTCTCTAGGCCAAGGACGTGCTCTCATTCATCTTTCTATCCGCAGTGTCTGGCACAGGCTTGCCAGCGATAGGTGCTCAGGGGACATGAGTTGAACTGAATGAAGCAAGGGTGAGAGGCTGCGGAGACTTGGGAGACCCAAGAATGTAGAATGTGAGAGTCAAGAAAGCGTCCTGAGAGCTTTGAATCAAGATGAGTCTATCCAGAATCTGGTCTGACAATTTTCTGGGACCTTTAGGGTTTGAAAGAAGAGCCATGTTTCAAATAAGTTAGTAAAATGAGAATTTTAACTGATGCCAGCATGAGACGGTGTTAAATTCAAATCCGTTCTGAAGATTACAGATCTCCATTCCCTTTTTCAAAGAGATGGCTGTGAAGACCCAAGCAGGTTGCACCTGCTCTAGCTAGCCAAGAAAAATATGAAGAATATCATTGTGATCTGGGCTCTCTGACTTATTTATAAGTACATACAGGTGTCAGATGGCCTCGCCGTGTCCACCAATAAAGTGCATCATCAGTCCTATTAAGTCTTTTAAGTCTAGTTATTGGTTAGTTTAAAAAAAGATTCCCCTCAAACTGAAGTAATTTTTTTCCTTCATTAAATCCTTAAGGAAACGCTAACTGCTGACCAGGCACCCACCTTTGCCATCCTCTCAAGCAGACAGGGACTATGGGCACCACATGGAAGGCCTGCCAGTTGCACTCTTGGCTTCTGTGGTGGAGAGCTGGCCTGCTGGTCTCCCCAGGCCGGGGCTGGCATGCCTGCCCTGTAGAGCAGACGAGTGCTTTCTGCAGTCCTGCTTTACAGCCATGGAATCTCAGAGCTGTTCACTTTAAGTTGCAGTGAATGATTAGCTCCCGTTCTAGCTCTTTTGAGGAAACATTTAAATATCCTATTTTTGTGAACTAAATCTGTGACCACGTTTATATAGCTTTCCGGTGAGGACTCACCTCGAATCCGATCATTCATGTGGTGTTGAGCTCTGTGATTTCATCTATTTCTAAATGCTGTTGTTGCTTACGACTAGCGAAAGAGCCTGGACCACTCGCCAGTTTAAAACTCAATTTCAGTAGGCCCCTTTCTCCTTTGAGATGCATTTTCAAAAATCTTTCTAGGTGTTCTAAAAAGATGCTATGAATTCACTGTATTGCTGCTTTGTGAAAATAGACAAACTCGGGGTAGAGCTTTGTGAAAATTTAATTCTTCAGTTATTGCAACAGTGACTCAAGGTCCTGATCTTCCTCTTCTGAAATGTTCACTTTAAAACCTCCCAAGATGGGGTAAGTGATCAACCAAAGGACTTGCATACATGCATATAAGCATAACGAATGGACACAGACACTAGGGGGGTGAGGGCATGTGCCGGGGGATGTGGGAGGCCGGGGGGAGGTCAATGGGGGAAAAGGAGACATATGCACTACTATTTGTAATACTTTTAACAACAACAACAACAAAATCCTCCCAAGAGGGACACTTCAGGTAGATACTGCTATTGTTGGCTGAACAGTGGGAATGCCACTATTCTTTGTAGGTGTTCAATTAAAATCAACCCTCTTGTACACTATTCCTCTCGAAAGCACGCCTGCACCTTTCTTTTCTCTCAGGTGCGCATCTCCTAAACTCTAAGGGACCCCAGCAGCTCATCCCCGGCTCACCCCCTGAACCTGTCTCCAAGGCCCCTTTTCTCCGAGTTTCCAATGAGCCAAAGCAGCCTGCCTAGTCTCTCTTCTGTTGTTTCTTCTGTCCTAAGCCCTTCCTTGTTTGACTGTCCCCAGCTTTAATTAAATAGACTAAAAAAAATAATAAAAAATCAACCAGCCCGGCTGGCGTGGCTCAGTGGCTGAGTGTCAACCTATGAACCAGGAGGTCACAGTTCCATTCCCAGTCGAGGGCACACGCGTGGGGCATGCGACAGGCAGCCTATCAATGATTCTCTCATTGACATTTCTCTCTCCCTCTCCCTCTCTGAAATAAATTAAAATGTCTTTAATTAAAACTAATCAACCTTAGGTGTTTTATTTTATTTTTAATATATTTTTATTGATTTCAGAGAGAAAGGGAGAGGGAGAAAGAGATAGAAACATCAGTGATGAGAGAGAATCATTGATTGGCAACCTCCTACACTCCTCCTACTGGGGATCAAGCCCACAACCCAGGCATGTGCCTTTGGCTGGAATCAAACCTGGGCCTGGGACACTTCGATCCGCAGGCCGTTGCTCTATCCACTGAGCCAAACCAAGTAGGGCAACCATAGATGTTTTAGAGATGACATGGTACATATGTGATGATCTGAAATGAACAGTGGTGCTTGCAGGTAGGTGCGTTCTCTGATTTCCAATGTTCAATATTTCACTGGTTATACTGGACTGGAGGACCAGAGATGACTATCTTGGTGTAGATTCTCAGGACTCACCTGGATTAATGTTGGTGGCACTCCCCATGGTCTAAGTCAGCCGTGGGCAAACTACGGCCCATGGGCCGGATCCGGCCGTTTGAAATGAATAAAACTAAAAAAAAAAAAAGACCGTACCCTTTTATGTAATGATGTTTACTTTGAATTTATATTAGTTCACACAAACACTCCATGCTTTTGTTCCGGCCCTCCGGTCCAGTTTAAGAACCCATTGTGGCCCTCGAGTCAAAAAGTTTGCCCACCCCTGGTCTAAGTTGACACTTGCCAGTAAAAGTGTGAGCCATATAAGGAATTTTAAATGTTCTAGTAGCCACATTTTTAAAAGTGAATCAGGCCGTAACCGTTTTGGCTCAGTGGATAGAGCGTCGGCCTGCGGACTGAAAGGTCCCAGGTTCGATTCTGGTCAAGGGCATGTACCTTGGTTGCGGGCACATCCCTAGTGGGGGGGTGCGCAGGAGGCGGCTGATCGATGTTTCTCTCTCATCGATGTTTCTAACTCTCTATCCCTCTCCCTTCCTCTCTGTAAAAAATCAATAAAATATATTTTTTTTAAAAAGTGAATCAGAAAAAATTAATTTTAATAGACATAATTCAACCTAATATGTACAAAACACTGTTTCAACCTGTGATCTATATAAACGACAAGATTAAAGAGATATTTGGCCTTTTTGTCTTCGAAATCTGGTGTGTAGTCTACAGTTACAGTACACTTAGTACACTTAAGTCCTTACTTCTACATCCAAGTGCTCACTAGCCACAGTGGCCAGTGGCTGCCCTTCTGAAGACCAACTCTGTGGGTCAGACTTGATCTGTGGTTAAATGGTGAGCTTCCCCCTCGTTTTTTCTTGGAGGGCTTTACGAGGCATTAGGGCATAGTCCGAGCTCCAGACTGCCTGGGCTTGGGTCCTGGTTCTGCCACTCCTTGTGTGACCTATCTTGTGATTTCTCTTCATCTCAGATGCATGGTCTGTGAAAACAATGCCTGCCTTAGAGGGCTGTGTGTAAGGTCTTTGGAACAATAGTTGGCATATAGTAAGCTACAGTCTTAAACACCACTGAATGTATTTACTGTATGCTAATTAAAATTTGTATTAAATTCTACTGAATGTGGCTCAATTTGCCTGTTTTAGAGAAACTTATAAGAGGTCCCAGGAATAATTTAAAAAACATACACGTTTCAAGTGGGTTTTTGGCATAACCAAGACATACTGAGAAAACTTTTAAGGAAACCTTAAGGGCAGTAGAGGAAGTTTGCCATAAGGCCATCTGTAAACTAGTCGTACCAGTTTGGAGTAGTTGTGGTGTATAATTTTTTCATAGATGTTAATTATGGACATTGAAGTCCAGGTCGGCCTCCATCTCTCATGTTTGCTCTGTGCTTGCAGGGGCATGCATCCCCCCGGAGGAGCATCGAGTGATCTTTTTGGAAGTCCAGAAGAAGTTGTTCCTTCAAGTCGACCCAACAGGATGGCATCGAATATTTTTGGACCAACTGAAGAACCTCAGAACATGCCTAAGAGGACCAACCCCCCAGGTATAGGCTTTTGTGACTCATTGGTCCTTTGGCCTCTACTTGTCCTTATGAAGCTGCTCTTTTGATAAAATTTTCTTTTTCTTTAATCCTTTCACATATCTTCTGGTATAGGTTACCCATTGCCATCAGAGTTCTAGAATGTGAGAAAGGGTTGCTCAGTTATTCTTGAATTCTCCCTCTGTAGCAACAGACATTGGCTGGGTGTAGGCACTGAGAATGCAAAGGCTGATGGTGGAATACTGGCTCCGGCCAGGGAGACTCTCCCAGTTGTACCATGGACTCCTTGAGATTCCTGAAATTGTGCACAGGTTACACATTTAAACGTTTTTCTTGCCCTGGCCAGTGTGGCTCAGTTGGTTGAGTGTTGTCCCATGCACCTAGAGGTCGCCAGTTCGATTCCCTGTCAGGGCACATGCCTGGGTTGCGGACACAATCCCCAGTAGGGGGTGTGTAGGAAGCAACCGATCAATGTTTTTCTCTCTCTTTTTAAAAAAAATCAATAAAAAAATGTTTTTAAACAATTTTCTTAGGTGTTTTTTGTTTGTTTGTTTGTCTTTTTAATCCTCAACCGAGGGTATTTTTTTCCATTGATTTTTAGAGAGAGAGTGGAAGGGAGGGAGAAGGAGAGAGGGAGAGAAAAAGAAACATTGATGTGAGAGACACATTGACTGGTTGCCTCCTGTATGCGCCCTGAATGGGGCTGGGGATCAATCCTGCAACCAAGGTACGTGCCCTTGACTGGGAATTGAACCTGAGACCCTCTGGTCTGTGGGCTGACACTCTAACCACTGAGCAAAACTGGCTAGGGCTATTTGTTTTTTAATCCTCACCCAAAGATATGTTTTTATTGATTTTTAGATTGGGAGAGAGAAATATTGATGTGAGAGAGAAACACTGATCAATTGCCTCCCATTCGCACCCCGACTGGGGTCGAACCTGCAACCTTTTGGTGCACAGAACAACCAAGTGAGCCACCAGGGCAGGAAGGGTATTTTTTAGTCAGCTTGTTGGTGGGATTAAAACTCTAAAAAAGGATGACTTGGTCTAGCACATGTCTCTTAGTTCTTACCCACATTCTGGTGGGTATAGTGGGAGAGCATCTTAGAACAATGTTTTCCTTGGCTAGTAGATTGTCCAGTTGATTGATCATACAGTGCTAGTTACCTAAGGAGCTCTCCCCTGTCTGTATCTATGAGGAAAAGGAAGGTTCATTTCATCTTTAAAGATTTGTGAGGCTAGACATAGGAATCAGTATTTCAGACAAATAATAAAATCAAGCAGAACCAGAGCTGGAGCTGCTTGCCACTCCACCTCAGTTCTAGGTGTGTGTGTATTCGACCGGTGCACATACTTCTTGACCAAACCCAAAGAAACAAGCAGTAGATTCAAAAGCTAGTGTTTTGTTTGATTTGCTGGGGGACAGGGAAGTGTAGATGTAGTTATAGTAGAGAAGCGGGTAGTTTTACTGAGTAGTGTTCTCACTGTATCCAGTGTATGGGTGTAGGGCCAGGAGGGGTCAGCCCTGCACATCCTTTGTACCAGTAACAGCATAACAATGGGTCATGTGGCCGATTGAATCAAATCTCAGGCACCTGAAGGTGGACAAGCCAGCTCCCTTGGCTTTGACTCAGCAGAGTGCATATCGAGCTGTCCCTGGGGTGTCAGGTTCCCTGGAAAGTGTTGCAACTTGGGGACAGTGCTATTCGGAATCTGAGAGCTGGTAGCATCTATACGATCCAGTGGTGGTTATGTGTTTGCTTTGTCTTTGTGATGGTTGTGTCTTACAAACTTTTCTGGTATGATCCCCCAGCTCTCGTGCCCAGTGGCCACCCTGGGCCCCTCTTGACTTGAGAGTGAGAAAGCCTCTGTCGTTCATGATTACAAGGTGTATTAACAACCAGCATGATTCCTTTTGCTGAGTTCCTCCTTCATGTGGTCCTATTGTTTGAGGGTTTTTTTCTGTCCTGCCAAGTGCTCTTTAAAATTATCTGTGATGAGCACAGCCAGTGTGGCTCAGTTGGTTGAGCGTCATCCCATGCATCAAAAGGTCACCAGTTCAATTCCCAGTCAGGGCACATGCCCCGGTTGGGGGGCTTGATCCCCAGTAGGGGGCTTGCAGGGGGTAGCTGATCGATATATCTCTCTCCTCGATGTTTCTATCCCTCTCCCTCTCCCTCTCCCTGAAATGGGTTTTTGTTTTTTTTAAATATTTTTTTTTTATTGATATCAGAGAGGAAGGGAGAGAGAGAGAGAGAAACATCAGTGATGAGAGAGAATCATTGATTGGCTGCCTCCTGCACACACCCCACACTGGGGATCAAGCCCGCAACCCAGACATGTGCCCTGACCGGGAATCGAACCGTGACCTCCTGGTTCATGGGTCACTCAACCATTGAGCCAGACTGGCTGGACTGAAATCAGTTTTTTAAAAAAAATTAAATGTGATGAATTCTCAAGGGAAGCTGGAAATGGAAAACTGCTAGTTGTATCCACAACCCCAGACCTAAACTCCTGCCTTTGTTTCTTATTTAGTCTTGCAGACTTAGCCAGCACAGCCCGTCAGTGAGAGGGCCTGATTGAGAAAAGTGTGAAGGGCAGAGTGTGTGACTTAGTACGTGAGTCACTGAAAATTTACCAAGGATTGTCATACCCAGTGTTTCATTTACTCCTCATTCATGTGCTTTGCTACTGGCCTTGTTTAGATCTTCTACAAATTGTTTTTCCTGGTGGTCTATCAGTGATTGATATGTGCGGATTTAATATCTGCCAGGGAGTATGCTACATGCTTTGCATGTATTTAATTCTCTCTACAAACCTAGGAGGTAGGTGGTATTACCCCCTCGACATGGAGAAAACTGAGGCTCAGGGTGCTTCACAGGTGTGTTAAGCCCCACAACTCATTGGTAGCAGAACTAGCTTTTGCATATGGATTTTTCTGACTCCAGAGCTCCAACCTGACCTCCTGCGTATATCTACTGGGATAAATTACTCAAAATAGAATTGTTGCCCTGACCGGTTTGGCTCAGTGGATAGAGCGTCGGCCTGCGGACCAGAGGGTCCTGGGTTCGATTCCAGTCAAGGGCATGTACCTTGGTTGCGGGCATATCGCCAGTGGGGGGTATGCAGGAGGCAGCTGATCGATGTTCCTCTCTCATCGATGTTTCTAACTCTCTATCCCTCTCCCTTCCTCTCTGTAAAAAATCAATAAAATATAAAAAAGAAAAACATTTAAAAAAAATAGAATTGTTGAGTGATTTAAAATACTGATAGATACTTCCAACTAGACTTTAATGGGTAGCCCAGTGTTCACCATGACACATGTGATGTTGCTCCTCACACTCTACCATCATATATCTTGAATTTATTTTTCTTCAGTTATGGATGGATTAAGCACCTTTTCTGTCTAGAAAGCTGAATTCATCTTTCAGGTAAAATATTGAGTAATAGACATGACTAATTGAAGTTCAAAAACAGAACTATAGGGTTGGACATATACACAGTAAAACTTAAATAAGTTTGTAGTTTCTAGAAAATTGAGACATGGAGTGATGTGAAAGGAATACTCAGGTTTCTGTGAGCTGGTGGCATCTATACAATCTGTTGGTGGGTATGTGGGTGTTTGCTTTGTCTTTATTTGTGATAGTTGTATCATATGAACTTTTCTGTTATGTTTAACAATTTAGAAAATGTTTTTAAATGAGCGTGGCTCTAGCCAAAACCTTCATATTGAGTTACTTTTATCTAACTTTTTTTAAAAGCTGAATATTCATTTTAAAAACTAGAGGCCTGGTGCATGAATTTGTGCATGGGTGGGGCCAGTCGGGGAAAGGAGCTTTGGGCAGTTGGCCAACTGGCCCCACCCCCTGGTCGAACTCCCAGTCAAGGGGACAATTTGCATATTAGCCTTTTATTATATAGGATAGGACAATTTACTTCAGCATAACCAGAAACAATGCAATAAGGGGATGACCTCAAGCATTACTTTTTCTTCACTTTGTGGCCTAGACGTTTTTGCTAACAACACTCTGTTAATAACAGCCTGGCAGCATTACTGAGGGCTTACCCACTTCATGTATGTTACCTCATGTATTTCACCGACTGCCCCAGGAAGGTATTATTATTATTTATACCTTGTTAGAGTTGAGAAAATGGGGACAAAAGAAGGTTGAGGTCACTTATCCCGGCTCACCAGTAAGTGACTGAACAGGGTCTCCATCCAGCAATCTGGCCACAGCTCAGCTGTCCTTAACACCATGCAGGGCTGGTTTCCCAATCCCAGAGTTCCCAGCTTGGTGTGTGTGGCTCCTTGGGAGGTCCATAGCCAAGGTTCAGGTTTATAATCACCCTGATGTTATATGAACGTGCGTGTGCACATTTTCCTACAGAGCAGTCCCACATGTTCTGTGTCCTCCCAACCAGCAAAGGCAGGGAACTGCAGTCCAGTCGCTCCTTTCTATGCACTATGATTCTACATGTCCCCTAGAGAGCAGTCACCAACCTTTTGGGCTGCCCTAGAGGACTGGCATCCTGGAAGGCCACTCTGCTTTATTTATTATTTATTTATTTTATTTACTTATTTATTTTTTATTTCAGAGAGGAAGAAGAGAGATAGAAACATCAATGATGAGAGAGAATCACTGATCAGCTGCCTCTGCATTCCCTCTCCTGGGGTTGAGCCCACAACACGGGCATGTGCCCTGACCGGAATCAAACTGGTGACCTCCTGGTTCATAGGTTGACGCTCACCCTCTGAGCCACACCAGTTGGGCATCCACTCTGCTTTAGAATCCACTCCAACAGCAGGGGCCGGCAGGCTATGGAGAGAACAAACCCCAGAGCCTCCTGCTCTCTGAGCTCACACGGGACTCGTCATTCATACTGTTTTTAGCATTCATGGTCTTCTATTGAAGCAGTGTGGGTTATTATAGCCAAGAAACGACTGTAATCACTTTTCCTTATTCAGATATAAGCAAAAAAGAATACTCCCCCTTTTTTTTACATTAAGACGTTGTGTGCTAGGTAGATTGTTTTACACCATTTTTCACTGAACAGTATGTCCAATACATAGAAAATACAGCCAACATTTATTGAGCATTTATGTCCCAGGCATTGTTCGAAGCATCTGACATATGAGCTACAGTAAGTCATTGAATCCTCTCAGTGCTGTGAAGAAGATCCTTTTATTATCCCCATTCTACAGATGAGGAATTTAGGGCACAAAAAGGCCAAGTAACTTCTGTACAGTCGTATAGCAATTTAATGGAATGCATCTTCTTTCCTCCTATAAGATAAATTGTTGGTGCACCAGGGCCATGATGATAATGGTCCCAGCGTTTAGCATAGCACTCTGGAAAGGAAGTGCGTGTGTGGTGTTTGCCCAGTGAATAAATGATATATTGGTATTGTATAGTAGCCATCTTTCTACTTAATGTGGGGCATTTAAACATTTACTTTTCATGGCCAGGCCTTAGTCATCAGCTTATACGAAGTTACATCTTAGATGCATGTCTTCATTATGTCTTATCAGATGACTTAGAGTTGGCAGCAAAGATGTTAAATGTCTGTGTTTTGCTGACATATCTACTTGTCACTGGAAATTCCAGCCAGAATGAGATCAGAAAATTACTACTAAATGTTATTTTCCAGATTACAGCTTTGCCTGTAACAGGACATGTTATTAAATTCATTCCTTTCTGTCTGACCTAAAAACTTAGAAACTGTTTGCTTTTAATTTACTAAAGAACATTTCATGGGTTTAATGAAGAAGATTCTTTAACAAAAAAGCATGAAAAGTTCAGGGATAAAGAAATTGGGGGCGGGAGGGGATGCTGCTTTATGCCCTCTCACCATCTTGCCTCCCAGTTCAGCTCAGTTCCGAAGTGAAGGCCCCAGCAGGCACCTGGGAAAGGGGTTAGGTCTTTAGGAACTCACTATCCCCGCCTTGTTGGCCTGAACTCAGGACGGGACTAGGGTGTTGCTATGAGAGGAGCTCTCTGAAGTGATGAATGTGAAAGGCAGGAGCAGGGAGGTGTTCTGGATTGCTCACTGCTCTGTGTTGTCTCTGCAGGGGGAAAAGGAAGTGGCATCTTTGAAGAATCCATGCCTGTGCACACTCGACAGCGTCTGAACCCACCTGGTGGGAAGACCAGTGACATTTTTGGGTCCCCAGTGACGGCTACTTTACCCTTGGCACATCCCAACAAACCCAAGGTATGGACTACATTCAGATAGCAGGCATAGACGAAAGAACAGCAAACATTGAGCCAGGCTCTTTTTCTCAAAGGCCCTGAGGCAGCTTGGACATGTTATTAGGAATAGACAGGAAGGGTGATGTTGGTTTTCCTGGGTGCAGTCATTAGTAATTGAGTTTTGAAACTCCCCTGAGTCATTGGAGAAATAGATTTCATCCTCGTGATGACGGAGCCCCGGGAGAAGCTGGTCTTAGTGTGTTGATAGCAGCGACTGCCCACTGCAAATAGGCGGCTGCTTTTCTCTGCACAACACTGAGGGGTGGCAAGAATAGTTACAGAATTGTTCATACAAAAGAGGAGCTTATGTTTCACAAAAATTTCACAATTTTTAATGGCCGTTGATAAGTACAACTGCATTGGACTGAAATTCACCAAGTATTTAGAATTCATGGGTTCCCTACTTACACTTTTTTAAATTTTTTTTTTTTCCGGTCAGTCCTTACCCAAGGATACTTCTCCATTGATTTTTAGAGAGAGTGGGAGAGAGAAAGAGAGAAACATTGATGGGAGAGAGACACATCAATTGGTTGTCTCCTGCACGTGCCCCGACCAGGGCTGGAGATCAAACTTGCAACCAAGGTACATGCCCTTGACCAGACTCAAACCCAGGATCCTTCAGTCTGAGGGCTAACACTCTATCCACTGAGTCAAACTAGATAGGGCTACTTTTTAAAATCTTATTTATCACCTTTGGAGAATGCCAGAGGATCAACTCAATATCATGAAAACCGCTAAAAGACAGAGTCAAACATTTGTTTGTTTGTTTTAAATATGTTTTTTTTTAATATATTTTATTGATTTTTTACAGAGAGGAAGGGAGATAGAGAGTTAGAAACATCGATGAGAGAGAAACATCGATCAGCTGCCTCCTGCACATCTCCTACTGGGATGTGCCCGCAACCCAGGTACATGCCCTTGACCGGAATCGAACCTGGGACCTTTTAGTCCGCAGGCCGATGCTCTATCCACTGAGCCAAACCAGTTTGGGCAAATATGTTTTTACTGACTTTAGAGAGAGGAGAAGGGAGAGAGAGAAAAACAAAACATTTAATCAGCTGCCTCCTGCATACCCACTACTGGGGATTGAGCCCATAATCCGGGCATGTGCTCTGACCAGGAATTGAACCAGTAACCTTTCAGCACGGGATATGCTCAATCAACCTAGCCACACCGACCAAGACAGAATCAAGCATTTAGACAGCATTTTCTGCATGAATTGTACTTCAGGATAACGGTTTTTAAGGCAAATTTGCCTTTTATAAAAGTACTCTAGCCTGTAAGTGAAGAAGGAATATCAGAATTCAAATATCACCATTCTGCAGAGTTGTAATGAAATTGTGGATCTAGGCAGTGATCATCAGTGGTTCTTAACATCACAAAATGAGAGACAAACCAAAAATTATAGGACTCATAATAGACCACCTTTGATTATCAAAAAAAACAGGACCTAATGAGATCAAACCTCATATTAGTTGATACCACAGGGATTCAGAGTTCTTGAAAATATGGGAAATTAACAGCAGAGTGGAGGGATATTCTAATTTTTTTTAAAAAGACTTAAGAACACAATCCCTATCAAAATCCCAACAATGCTTTTTTTAAAAAATAGACCCATTTTAAAATTCATATGGAATTTCAAGGGACCTGAAAGAGTCGAACAACCTCAAAAATGAAGAACGAAGTTGGAGGTTTACTCCTCGCAATTTCAAATTTACTATAGTAATCAAAATTGTGTGACACTGACATAAAGATAGACAAACCAGTGGAATAAAATTGAGAACTAAGAAATAAATTATCACATTTATGGTTAATTGGTAATGTCCACAGGGTGCCACGATCATTCAGTGGGGAATAGAACAGTCACTTCAACAGATGTTGCTGGGGAAATTGGATATGCACATGCAAAAAATGAAGGTGGACCCTTACCTTACACCATATACAAACATTAACTAAAAATGGATCAAAGACCTCCATTTAAGGGCTAAAACTACAAAATTCTGAGAAGAAAATTTAGGGACAAATCTTTTTGATCTTACTAGATTTGATAGTGGCTTAAATATGACACCAAAAATAAAGGCAACAAAATTTCAAATAAATAAATAGGACTTCATTAAAATTTAAAAACTTTCGGCCCTGGCCGGGTACCTCGGTTGGTTAGAACATCGTCCTGCTATGCCAAGGTTGTGGGTTCCATTCCCAGTCAGGGCACATACAAGAATCAACAATGAACGCATAAATAAGTAGAACAACAAATCGATTTCCCTCTCCTCTCCTTTCCCTTCCTCCCTTTCCTTCCCCCTTCTCTCTCTCAAAATCAATAAAAAATTTTAAAAATACCATCAATATAGCATTAATTACAGTAGCCAAGATATGGAAGCAACCTAAGTGTCCATTGATAGATAAATGAATAAAGATGTACATATATACAATGGAATGTTATTCAGCCATAAAAAAAGAATGAAATCTTGCCATTTAGGGTAGTTTAGATAGAACTAGAAGGTATTATGCTTAGTGAAATAAGTCAAACAGAAAGATAAATACCATATGATTCACTTATATGTAAAATCTAAGAAACAAAGTAAATGAACAAACTCAGATGCAGAGTACGAATTGGTGGTTGCCAAATGGGAGGGGGGTTGGGGTGCTGGGTGAAAAAAGTGAGAGGGAAATTGCCAGTTATAAAAATAGTCACAGGCCTGGCTGGTGTGGTTCAGTAGTTGAGCGTCAGCCTGTGAACCAGGAGGTCACTGCTAGATTCCCGGTCAGGGCACATGCCCAGATTGCCCACTTAATTCCCAGTGGGGGGCATGCAGAATGCATCCCATCAATGATTCTCATCATTGACATTTCTTTCTCTCTCTGTCTCTGTCTCCCCCTTCCTCTGAAATCAATAAAAATCTATTTAAAAAAAAAATAGTCACGGGCTATAAAGTATAGCATAGTGAAGAGTCAACAATATTATAATAACTATGGTGTCAGATGGGTAATAGGCTTATAGGGGTGATTATTTGTAAGGTATATAAATGTCTAATCACTCTTTCATACACCTGAAATTAATATAATGTATGTCAACTGTAATTTAAAAATAATTTTTAAAAAACCACTATATAGCTGAAACCGGTTTGGCTCAGTGGATAGAGCGTCGGCCTGCGGACTGAAAGGTCCCAGGTTCGATTCCGGTCAAGGGCATGTACCTGGGTTGTGGGCACATCTCCAGTGGGAGATGTGCAGGAGGCAGCTGGTCGATGTTTCTCTCTCATCGATGTTTCTAACTCTCTATCTCTCTCCCTTCCTCTCTGTAAAAAATCAATAAAATATATTTAAAAAAATAAAAAATAAAATAAAAATAAAAAACCACTATCATGAGAATGAAAACACAACCCATAGAATATATGAAATCACATATCTGATGAAGGTTTGCTATCCAAATTATATAAAGGATTCCTACAATCAAACAACAAAAGACAACCCAATTCAAAATGGACAAAGGACTTGAATAGATATTTCTTCAATCAGCACATGAAAAGATGTTCAGCATTCTTAGTCCTTAGGGAAAGGCACATGAAAATCACAAGGAGGTAGCACTTCACACCCACTAGGATGACTATTATAAAAACAAAACGAAAACAGAAAATAACAAATGTTTGTTGGCAAGAATATGGAAAAATTGAAACCAACAATGCTATTGAGAATGTAAAATGGTTCAGCCAATGTGGAAAACAGTTGGGAGTTTCTGAAAAAGTTAAACATAGAATTTACTATGCGATCCAGCTATTCCACTCTTAGGTATATATTCCCAGAATTTGAAAACAGGAATTCAAATATTTGTACACCTATTTTAATAGCAGTACTTATAGTGATGCTATTAAACAATCCAAGTGCCAACCAACAGGTGAATGGATAAATAGAATGTGTTATACATACATAATGGGATATTCAGCCATAAAAAGGAATGACATTTCTGATACATGCTACAACATGGATGAGCCTTGAAAACATCCTAATCTTCTAAAATTTGGGTATTAGATATTTAAGGAATCAGTTATTTTTGCAATTGTGTGAGTGTTATGGGTGTTTGGTTGGTTTTTAGGACATTTTTAAGAGCCACATCTTGAATTATTTATGGGTAAATGAAATTTCTAGAATTTGCTTTAAAATAATTCCACAAGGGGGTGGAGAGATTGTAATTGGGAGACTGTGGCTGAGACCAGGATGGCAATGAGTTGATGTCATTACAGCTCTACGTCGGGTTATGAGGAGATTCACAGTGCTACTTTGTTTATGCTTTAAATTGTCCATAATAAAAACATTTTTAGAAGTTGAAAATGAACCCAAATCATCCATCCATGTCTTAATTTTCATCGTCCATCTGAATGATCGTAAAAAGTTTCTGAATCACATATTGACCTGGGGTTTGCCTTGTTGCAGGACCATGTGCTCTTGTGTGAAGGAGAAGACCAAAAATTGGACCTTAAAGGTGAGTTTGTGTCCTGTCCCTTCCCCTGAGTGCTCTCACTCTGAAAGAGTTGCTGGTGCACCCAGAGAATGAGAGGTAATATTCCTGTGTCCCTTGCAAGCCAGCTGAGAAAAACAAGGTTGTGTTTATTGCTGAGGATTTAAGATTTAAAGAAGGCCAGGGAAATGGGCTCAGCTATTTCTGATGAAAGCTTTTCAACTGCTCATCACTGGTTTTTCTTCACATCTTGTCATTACTCATCAGCCTAGGCCTAAGACCCAAGGTGTGCTATTCTAGAAGCTGGTCTTTTGTAGGGAAGGGCAGGGACCCAAAGCCTCGTGACTGCGGGTAGCACCAGCAGAACTAATGCAGAAAAGAAGGGCATAAGAAGAGCAGGGACAGGAATGATGAGCAGGAAGAATGTGAGGCTTGCATGTGGTGGAGAGAGCTGGTGCTTCCGCAATCCATCACCCAGGGAGTGAGCTGCCCCCATGGTGAGGCTAGATGTCAGACTTGGAGTCCCACTGTTGTTCTCAAAGCTGACAGCACTGATTGCTGCCTGTGGGTCACCATTTCCCTCAGTTGACGACCAAGATATGTGGGAATTCATTCATTCACTCAAAACATCCAGAGTAATAGTGTCAGAAAACCTTGCCTCATCTTGTTAGACCCTCCAGTTAAGACTGGCTTCCTCTCTGTTCATGCTTGCTTTGAGATAGTGTGCTTTTTATATTTGTGGTGGAGAAAAAGGGAAATGGAGTCCAACAAGCAATATAAAGAAGTATTGAGCTTATTTAGGAATGTATCGAGGATTATTTATAGTACTGAGCCCCACTTTATGCCCAGTTCAAGAATGGCCTCTGCTAATAATCAGTGAGTCTTCTTGGCACAGACGGAAGCCTTGCCCTGTTAGTCTCTCTTCCCATTACAGTATGCATTTCTTGCTAGCTGGTCTATGTCACAGACTGTCCATGTGCACAGCTCGCCAATCCAGGTGTTGGGGAGCCTCTAATGCAGTGGTTCCCAAACTTATTTGGCCTACCGCCCCCTTTCCAGAAAAAATATTACTCAGCGCCCCCTGGAAATTAATTTTTTTTTAATTTTAATAGCAATTAAACAGAAAGATATATGTATTAATGTTTCTACCTTTTTCGTAAAATATAGTAAAGAAAGGTGTAAATTAGAAACATTGAAGTTTGAAATTATGAAACTATTTATTGAACTCAGAATAGAAAGGTAATACAAAAAAAGTTAAAACAAATGCACCTGTGGCCATCACCGCCCCCCTGGATCGCTGCAGCGCCCACCAGGGGGCGGTAGCGCCCACTTTGGGAATCACTGCTCTAATGCATGGTTTGTTGCTTTGTCCCACAGCTGCCATGAGCACCTTGCCCAGAGAAGAGCCAGGTGAGAAAGGTGGCCCAAAAGAAGCAGACTCTGCCCAGGAGCCCCAGCCCACACCCACGGCTGACAACCATGAGCCCAGGCTGGGCCCACGTCCTCGATCTCACAACAAAGTCCTGAATCCACCTGGAGGCAAATCCAGCATCTCCTTCTACTAGAGAAGCTATTGCTTCCCCTGTAGCCAGATAAGAAACTCGAGAGATAGGATTTCAAATATTATAGTTTCCTTTAGCCCAAAGGAACGGGGGTGGGGAGAGGGTCTGTCGTGTATCTGAAGCCACTGCTCAGGCTCCCCTGCCACCACGAGAGCCACAGAGGACCTCACCTTCCAGACTGCCGAGAGACATATCTTTGTGGGGGGCTGTGATGCCGTGGTGAACAGTCCTACGTAATTTTGGAGGAACTTTCAGATGGGCTGGGTGGGGAGCTGGTGCAAGGCTACAGGGGCCCTGATGAAGTGAGACCTTCCAAGTCCTGGTTGCATCAGTGACCTGCCAGCCAATTGGGTATCTAGGAATCACTCCACACAGTAGCAGAGTTTAAAGCCTCAGAAAGAAAGCCAAAAACCACCTGTGCATTGGGCGTAAGCCGAGACACTAGTCTCCATTCTTGGGACTATTGCTGCTAACCCGAGACCTCCTTTGCACCCAGGCACAGAGTATTCTGCAGTCTTTTCTTGAAACATTTTGAGTGCTTTCCCTCGGCAGCTGTCAACAAAAACCAAAAAGTTTTCTCAGTCTTATGCTTTATGGAGAGATTTTGTACCTTGATCCTCTGGGGTGATCTATCTGCCTTTCACTCACAATGGACTGGACTCAGTCTCTTCACAGACTGGTTTTGCTTATGAATTGTTTTGGGTTGTTTTTTTTCTCTTATCCTTAAATTTCAGCCTTAGCTCTTCAACACTAATGTGGACAGTTCATTTATCTGCAAGGCCCACTGACTTCTGTAAGACTAAAACTCTATCCAGATACATAATTGGGTTATTTAAATCTTTCATGTGTCTTTATTCCTGTTGACATTGGGAAGAAGATGTTTGAGAACTTTGAGTTCTTTAATAATATCTAAAGAGCTATTCTTAAATACCAGCTTTACATAAGTGACCATTGACTCTGGTCTGTTTCTGACACCTCTCTAGAAAAAAGTCAGTTGCTCAGGTACGCCAAAGAGGAAGAAAAGTTTGCTTAGGCCACCCTTTATAAAGCTTTGCAGAACCTTTGGACCATAATTCAGTTTCCAGAAGAGACTTGGAGACCTTAGGCTAGGTGATTAGTTTGGCAAAAAAGCCTTAACTGGCCAATTCTGTGATATTTACCAGCAAAGGTAACGACCTGGCAAGTTGTGTTGCTTTAATCTGTCAGGCAGAAGTTTCTCCCATTGAGCCTCCTAAGAGTTACAGTCTACATCACTCATGCTGGACCAGTAGTTAATAGAGGGGAGAGAGGGTTTGTGTGGTGGTTGCTGTTGGTGTGGGTGCCTGCAGAGCTAATGCCAGGTGCTGGAAATGTCTTCATCGTCAAAATTGAGAAAAGAAACACGTGTGTTTAGTGATAGCCACCGTGGCTGAGACACTAAGTGCCTACAGGAGCTGCCTCCCAAACCCCTTACACCCAGCACAGTGAGGGGATCTGCAAGTGGCTTTGTCAACCAAAGAGTGTCCCTCCTTTCAGTTATCCTGCTGACTCTGGAGCCAAGAAATAGGTATTTCATGTGACTTTATCAAGTACTTCCTGTCTCCATGTTTAAAATGGTAATTTTTAAGAAATTGTTTGGAATTCAGAGTATTTTTCCCCCATTAAGAAATGTCACAAATGGTGGTTAACTTTTAAGCCCAAACACACTAATTTGTTTAACTTATAATGAAATGTACTAATGGTAGAAATGAACTGCCATTTGTAACTACGTTTTGCTTTTAATACACAAGAAAATAATTGGTGAATTCCAAATTGGGTTGCTGGCATTGTGCTGCTGGCCCTTGCGGTGTCACCCCCACCCTCACTGTCAGCCAAATGAGAGGAAGGACTCTAGTTCTATCCACTGGCAGAGATCCATGAACTCTTAGCATCCTGTTATCAACCTCTTAAGCTGCATTGAAAAATTACCAGTCTATTTTTATTAAGCCTTAAAACTTTTTATGTGCATTTGGTGCCAACTTTTTTCTAGAGCTGTATCAAAAACAACAAACCTGTACTCACATCACAATGTAATTTTGATAGGAACATTTTGTTATTTTTACAAGGCAGAATTGGGTGTAACAGTTGAAATAAACTTCGTAATCATGTATGCAGGGTCTTTGCCTGTTTGGTGTCTGGGGCGGGGTGCACATACTTTCCTTAACACCCATTCTCCAACATGCGTGACCGCTGCTCCTTCCCTTATAGCGTTTCATCAGTGAATGGGTTGCCTTTTTTTGCCTTTTTTTTTCCATTTAGCCAGGGGATGCCCAAATCTCTAAGGTTTAGATTTAGATTTTTTTAAAAATATATTTTATTGATTTTTTACAGAGAGGAAGGGAGAGGGATAGAGAGAAACATCGAGAGAGAAGCATCGATCAGCTGCCTCCTGCACACCCCCTACTGGGGATGTGCCTGCAACCAAGGTACATGCCCTTGACTGGAATCGAACCTGGGACCCTTCAGTCCCCAGCATGACGCTCAATATCCATTGAGCCAAACCGGCTAGGGCAGATTTAGATTTTTTTCATTTGAAAAACAGATTCAGCTGTCCTTTTTTTAAATCTTATTTTGTTATGTATCCAGTTCTTGTTTTACATATATATTTTTTTATTATTATTATTATTGATTTCAAAGAGGAAGGGAGAGAGATATAGAAACATCAATGATGAGAGAGAATCATTTGATTGGCTGCCTCCTACACACCCCACACTGGGGATCGAGCCCACAACTCAGGCATGTGCCCTTGACTGGAATCGAACCCAGGTCCCTTCAGTCCCCAGGTTGACCCTCTATTCACTGAGCCAAACTGGCTTAGGGCCAAAGATTCAGCTTTGAGTAGAATGAGCGGGAATGTTCTAGAGTCCCAGTTTCTATAAAGATTCATTTTTTCTGCCACTTGTTTTCCTAACAAATTGAAGGTATTTGAACTTGCCTCTGAATTGGCTTTAAAACTGCCCAGTACAAGCCTTCTCATGAGTAGATGAGGTGCTGAGCTGTTAGAGTTTGCCTGTAGATTCAAGCCCTGCAGAGAAGGGCTTGAACGTCTTTCCTTCTTACATATTACCTTTATCAAATGTTCTACAAGCAAATTTAATACCCTTGTATGTATGACGTGGGTTCAGGATAATGAAACTTCTCAGACTGCCTGCCTGCAGAATTCCCCTACAGGAGGCTCCACACTTCTGCTTACTAGATCGAGGCCAACTATCAGAACAGCACCTAAAACCCGACATGGGTTACCTAACATGATCTTCATTTGTTCATCTGAACATGTGTTTGGGAGTTCAGAGATTATTCCAAAAACTGGGCTAGGCTCTGGCAACATCACATTACCTGTTTGTCTGGGTAGCCCAGTTGGTGGGAGCATCGTCCTGATACGCCAAGGTTGTGGTTCAATCCACAGTCAGGGCACTTTAAAAAAAAAAATCAGTACATTATCTTTGTAGCAGGCACTCCAGCCACAGGTGAGCACTGAGGTCTTGGGAGTGTCATAACACAATGCCTAAGTCTGAAATGCCCAAGATAGCTCCATCTGTTATGGTTAGGGGGGTGAATAAAATCAAAGGGTGGCCACTTCCAAGTCCTGTGCCTTGTCCAGAAATACACTGGCTCTTTTGATGGGACATAATTTGTTCCATTATCTTTTATCTTTGTGACTCAAACCTTACAAGAATACATGTACCTCCTTTGTTATCTAGTTCATTTCTTCTGAGCTCATTGTGTGTGTGTGTGTGTGTGTGTGTGTGTGTGTGTGTGTGTGTGTGTGTTTTGGTGGTTTTTAAAATGTTTTTATTGATTTGAGGAAGAGAGGAAGGGAGAGGAAAAGAGAAACATCATTTGGTTGCCTCCCATATGCACCCTGACCAGGGATCAAACTCGCAACCTGGGTATGTGCCCTGACCGGGAATTGAGCTGGCCACCTTTTGGTGCATGGGACAATGCTAAACCAATTGAGCCACAGTGGTCAGGACTCAACTCATGTTCTTAATCCTTAGAATTCTTAGAGATCATGAATGAAGTACTAGTATTCCTGTTTTATGTTTGACTAAAAAAGCTATCTAAAATTCAACTTGGGAAGAAATGAGAGGCACATTACAGGGGCTTGGTTGACTGATTTTCAGCAGGCATTTGGGATATTTAGAAATTAAAGTAGAACTTGCCCTGTCTTGTTTGGCTCAGTGGATAAAGCATCAGCCTGCAGACTGAGCCACACAGGCTGGGCTCCAGCTGCATTCTTCAGTAAGCATCAAGAGTTATATCAGCCCGGCCAGCGTATTGAGCATCGACCTATGAACCAGGAGGTCAGAGTTCCGATTCCCAGTCAGGGCACATGCCTGGGTTGTGGGCTTGATCCCCATCGGGGGGCATGCAGGAGGCAGCCAATCTATGGTTCTCTCTCATCATTGATGTTTCTATCTCTCTCTCCCT